TATGTATGTATGTATGTATGTATGTATGTATATCTGTATATTAAGCCGCACAGGGATCCCCTACATCTATGTAAATATGTATATCTATATCATATGCCTCACAGGGATCCTCCCATATCTATGTATGTATGTATATCTATATTATACATCTCACAGGGATCCCCCTATGGCTATGTATATATGTATATCTATATATATATGTATATCTATATTGTAAACCGCGCAGGGTTCCCCCTTTAAATATCTAGATGTCGAAATCTATATCTATATCATAAATCTCACAGTGAAACTCCTATGTATATGTATCTGTGTATATGTATATATCTAAATCTAAGACTTTGTCTTTGGCGTAGCTCGTGAGCTATGAAGAAAAGATATTGTTTTGTTGAATGTATTTACGAATTATGATTAGGCACTCGCTCATTCGTTTATATTCGAACTTGAATTAGGCAGGTGACGACTAGCAATGCTCATTCAACGCGGTACTTAGGATCTCATTGGATATCCTAGGTGTTAAGTTGTCTGGATATATCTGATTCTTCTCCCCACGTATCTATGGAAGGGGGTGATAATTTTTCGAAATCTGGGTCTGCTGTGTAGAATTATCCTCTCTCTTGTTAACTTCCTACCTGTATGGTGTTATTCTTGATAAAGGAATAAAACTACAGCGGCTGTGCTCCTAACTTTGTGTAGGGGAGTCTTTTGTTGATGGTTAAAACTAAAGTTGGTATATAATGACAGAATGTATTGAAGATCTAATAAGCTACTCTGTATATAAATCAGCCATAACAGAGTTGAAGCTAAAACAAAAACATTCATACATGTATATATAGTTAAAAAAATGAAAAAGAAAATAAAATAAAAAATGAAATGAAATGGAGAGGTATGGCCGAGGACTGGGAAATCAGAATTCCTCTAAGTTCTTTGATCACCAGAACCAAAAGGCACATTATTCACACTATTTTTTGCTCTCATATATATATATATATATATATATTAGTTAGGAAATGTATGAATGTGAACACTGCTAAGGAATATGCATCTTTTTGATTATTATGAGTGGTCGAATTATGAAGGAATTAATGGTCAGTTCTCAATTCCTTAAGGAATTATCATCACTCTGTTTATAGTTTTTCGCTAGTTTAGGAATTTTCATTTCTCAGTTCTTGGACACTGCTAAAATTAAAACGGATGAAAACATGCTTTTTCCAGAAGTGAATAACCATGTCTAGATTAACAAAAGAAAAAAATTATCAAAATTCGTCCCGGGGAAACTCGATCTTTAGTTATTTTTCTTTGTGAAATCCACCAGTACAGTTTAAGTGCTCTTCACTCATATATACATATAAATTTAATTCATAAAATATAAAAATTCTAAGTTATTTCACAATTCATTTTCGACATAAATTCTCAAAAAAAAGAACTGCCCGTTACACTTATTATTCGATTTAAAATAAAAGGCGAGTGATTATCTCTTAAATAAATTTTGTTGAACATATAATCTACATCTACAGTTTTCACCAATCAAAGGAGCGAGGTTTGAGCGAAGAATCTGAACGAGAGTTATAGAGCAAAAGATGCTTCAATGTAGACGTATTTCCACTGATATTTTTTCTCGATGTAGTTTCATTAATTATAGATTCGCGAGATCAAGTAATCAATGAAAATGCATCAAGAAACAGAAGCATCTTTCTTTCGACCAGGTGAAAATCACAGGTGTTGCTTACATATTCAACAAAAGTTATTAAAAGAATAGTCACTTGCCTTTTATTTTAAATCGGATAATATTTGTTAACTATAGTCCATTGAACTAAATTTATAAAAAAAAACAATTATTTATTGTATTGAGACCCTAAAAGAAGAACTGTTAACTATATGCAATATCACCATGCAAATCACATTCTTTATTCGATTACTGTTTCTCTTCTTCTATGCTTCTACTTCTACCACTAACAATGATCAAAGCGATGCAAATTGAAGAAGAAAAACCAAGATAATATAATAAAAGAAGTTAAGAAATAGATAAAGTAAACAGCATACTTTCTCAATGAAAATCTTTCTTTCTGTATGATTCAGTTGGTTGATTAGCTGAAGGATAGGTGAGGTGTATATAATAAAAAAATGAACTGATAACTATTGACTAAATTCCAATAGAGATTTATGTACAACTATTATTTGTGTGAGAGAGAAGATCTTTGTAGTATCTCTGTTGTTAATATTACTGATGAAAAGGTATTTATAGTTGATTCGTTGTTTATGAAAAAAAATATTTATATGATGAATAGTAAACAGATTCAACATTGTTCATTTATCTCTAATGATCACAATAGTATTTGATTATAAATCATGAATATCGATAAAATTTAAATGAATAACATATCCTAGTGAAATATCTTGCTTACTAGATCTTTCACTTGGGTAGAGAGAGTAATAAAAAAAGATATAATACTGGAAATGGTAATAACTATCTCTTTAAAGTTTTGTTAGAATTCAGATTGAATTGAATGGAATGGATTATAAATGATTTTATTTAATGAATTAAGTATAAAATTTACCTAAGAAGTTAATGTAATGAATTGGTCAGCAGAAGAAATGTTGTTGTCGTTTGAGATCAATATAATTATTTTTTTTCTGAAAATGACATGTAACAATATAACTGTGTTAGACCTTTTATAGAGCTAAGAAAAATTGTTTGGGAAAAAACAAAAAAAATGTGGGCGAATCTTTTTTTTCTGAAGAAAACTTTTTCTCATTGGTGAAGATGAGTTTTGTTTCATTTATGAATCAACAGCACTATGGAAATGATTCAGACTTTTGTTTCCTTAGAAATACTTTTTTCTGTTCTTGAGAAAAAAATCATTTTTAGAAAGTAAATTCTTTTATTATAATTAATATTATCTTCTTTACTTAAAATCGAAGATAAAATTTTTGTTCATTATTATTTGAGCTAAAAATATTGAATCTTTCTTTCAATATTTGTTGATTAATTGTTGAATGATCTGACATATGTAATTATAAAATAAAACATTGTAGTTTGAGATCTTTGTGATTTAGATACTTTTGAAGAGAGAGAATTGAAAGTATCAATATTCTCTTGGAATTTACAAATACTAATAGAGACAGTAAAGATTAATTAATTGCCACAAGTAGAAATGTTTCTTTATAATAAAGCATAAATATAAACAAAATCGTGATTTTAGAAAATACAGATAAATAAATAAAATAAAGATAAATTCTATTCAGTAGTATGTAAATGGAGGAATAGGATATATTCATCGTAATTCTTTTTTATTATCGACAACACTTTCAAATGGATAATGCTAACGGATGAAACCTATAGATAAAAAGATCTATGAAAAAACAATCGTTTGTTCACACTTTTGCACATATGTTTTGATGAGTAAAGATTTTCTTAATCTTTATTTTACGAATGTAAAACAAGAATTGTTTACCATTACTTAATAAAGTAAATCCACGGTAGCACCCATATATACAGATCTAATTAGAACAACAATCGACAAAAATTATTTTGAAAATGCATTTCTGTCATGCGTTTCAGAGATGTTGTGCATTTCAGAGTTATCATGCGTTTCAGACATGTCATGCGTCTCGGACATGTCCGTAGACGTGTGCGCTCAGATATTGCACACACAAAAGTAAAAGTACTCATTAATTTATGAACAAAAAAATCCTTACTAAATATAAATAAGAGTTTGTACGTTTCTCACTTGTCTTTAGTTTTTTTTAAATATGTTCACATAAACGGGGTAAGAAATACGACCAAATATTTTTTCATATTCATTTGTTTCATTCAAAACTAGTATTTAAAATAAATAAATAAAACTCTTCTTATGAATACAAAATTTTATCAAAAATCTGATTTCAGGAGAATATTTATTTCACATAAACAATAAAGATAAATCCTGGAATATTCTCATTTTAAGTTTGTTTTATTAGAAATATTTAAATAAAAATATTTATTCTGATAAATTACATTAAATCAGTAATCTCAATCACTTGAATATTTCAATTTTTTTCATAAACTTATGTTGTTAATATACGTATAAAAAGAACAACATAAATAAATTAGTTTATTGCATAGAGCAACTAACAAAAAATGAACGATTATTCATTCTTTTTAATTAAAGAAAAGAAAATCTGAGTAGATTTTTTGTTAGATAATATAATCAATGAAATTCTTGTATATATTAATAATTGAAGAAAAGATTTTGTTATTTTTGAGATAATATTGATAAGTTTTACAATCGAAATATTTCATATGAAAACAGTCATTTCTAGTGAATAAACAAACACGTAATTACTTTTTTTTATTTTCTTAAAATAAGTTTTTCCTTCACGGATAAAATGATTTTTAAGATGCAATAATGACGTATTTATAGTGTATACAGGAGAAGTGTTGTTAGTAATACTGATATTTTTTTTAATTTTCTAAGAAGGACAAAACTAATAATCATTTCCATCATCAGTGTAGAAAAAAGTAAGTAGATTTAAAGCAGTTATATTGATAACTTTCATTTTATTAATCTATTTTAGTTGAAAGTTTGACAAGAGAAACTCGATTTTAGAAAAAGAAGTAAAATCTTATAGTTTCCTTGTGAGAAGAAGTTGAATTGTAGTTTTTATTATTCTTTCTTAATTTTTAGTTGTGTTTATTGCAAGAAAATTTCGATGCAAGAACCACCAATTCCAGAAGATCACTCTCAAAAGTAATACTATTTATTTGAATTAATATTTTAATTTAAAAAGACTTTTTTTTTTTCAAGAGAAACTATTTTATCAACCAAATGTCAATTTCTTCTTTGGAGTTGGGTTTTAATTCTAATATCAATTATGATTAGTGTTATTGCAACAGGTATATTCATTCGTTATCAATCATCATTTTCATCCAACAGTATAAACTATAACATTGGTAATAACAATTTTCTTTAAATATTAAAGTTACATATAGACTAGTTTCACTTTACCCGATAAAGACAAGTAGATAACTGTAGTATATTTACTAAAATGTCATCGTTAGTGAGATATCGATTTATTTGAAATCATCTCTCTATAGATTGAATAATAAAAAAAGTGTTTGTAGGAACGACGAGCGTTTTGAGAAAAACGACAAGAGCAACTCAAATGAAAACAACTTCTACTGAAGGTAAGAATAAAGTAACGTCATATGTATAGGTAAATAAATGTATTCGTTTAGTAACAACATCAATGTCAAGAAATATTTCAAATAGAAATTCTTCATGTAAGTGAACGATTAGTTTTTCTTATGAAAATAAAAATAATCTCTTCTAGATATTCCATGTAATCCAATAGAATTTTCAAATTATACAAGTTATCCAACTCAAAGTTATCCATGGTCAATAAGCAATGGTTATTTCGATGAAGATTCTTTCCTTGATATCATTGTTGTTAATAGAGGTAATACAAGTATTGGTATATACTATGGTTTCGGAAATGGAACATTCGAAAGTCCAAAATTATACAACACGGCTTACGATGTTGCTTATGTTTTTGTTAGAGATATGAATAACGATAATAAATCTGATATAGTGCTAACTTATACTGATACAAATCAAATTGCCATTTTTATTAATAAAGGCAATCAAAATTTTAATTCACCAATAACTTTTCCAGTTGGAAATTATCCATACTGGATTGATGTTTCAGATTTTAATAAAAATAATCTATTAGATGTTATTGTTGTTAATGACCGTGCCGCTTCTGTTACTATTCTATATGATTATAATTATTCTAATTTATCATTCAGTTTTTCTAAAACCTATCCTTGTGGAAATGATGTTACAGGTGTATCTGTTGCAGATTTTAATAATGATTCATATCCTGATTTTGTTACTACTGATTATAGTGATAATACAATTAGTCTTTATATTAATCCTAAAAATGGAATATTTAATCATAAAAAAAAAATTTATACAAGTATTGCACCTTGGGGTATAGCCACTGCTGATTTAAATAATGATAATTTTATAGATATTGTTAATACTAATTTTGTTTCATTTACAATAAGTGTTTTTTCAAATGATGGACATGGAAATTTCAATAAATTCGATACATATTATATTGGCGGAACTACAATGTCAGTTACATTGGCTGATTTAAATAATGATACATTCATTGATATTATTGCTGCAAATAGAGCTGATAATTTTATTTGCATTTTTTTAAATAAACAAAATGGAATATTTGAAACATGTCAACGGTTTATCACCGAATGGAATATTTATGGTGATACAGATGTAGATTTCAATGTTTCTGCTGTTACAACTGGAGATTTCAATGGAGATAACAAAATAGATATTGCTCTTTGTACTGGACAATATAATATGAATGTTCTTTTAAATCTATGTTAACAACATTTCATGGCCTATTTTTATTATTGACAAATATTTATTCTACAAAAATTTATTTATTCTTTTTCTTCTTCAACATTTTAACTCTTAAGATAAAATTCTTTTCTTCTTTATATCACAAAATAAACACATATTTAATCACAAATGTTAATGTTTCGAATTAATTTCTCACTCTATCCTGTCATATAGTAGTGACAAAAAAAGTGGATTAGGAGTACACATATTACTCGGGCGAGTAGTATTCGTCAAGTTTGATGTATATTTTAAATTGTCGTGAAGTCGAATCAGTACTTATACGAGTTGTTTCTCTATGATGTATTCATTGATAAAAGAATAAGTACTGCATGCAATACTATAAGCGAACTGAAAACATATTCGTTCGCTAAATCGAATATATGTGTGATATATATGGTATTTTCCTTCTTTCCTTTTCACCACCATCTTTGTTACCCTATGGTATATTACTCTAGGAATTGACCAACGTCTCTCTCTCTTTTCCCCGTGTGAATACAGTTGTGTTTTTCTTGAATATTTTACAAAACATTCATGGATTAGTATTTATAAAAATTGAATAAGATTGTTTAATTTAGAAAAATAGGTAAACTAATAGAAAATACAAAAAAAAATATTTTAATAACTTCTCTATGTTATTCTCCGTTCTTTTCTGATGACTCATTCATGTGAATGCAATGAAAAGTTACATGAAGAATAGAAAGAGAAACGACGTGTTCATTTTAAGTGGTTCATTTCTGAAACAAGTTTAGAGATTTTTTTAGACATATAAATATAAAAGATAAGACATTGAATTTCATTTAATAAATTTGAGATTAAAAATTCTACTAGATTGATACTTTCTTTCAGATAAATATTGAAAACCATTGAAACAAAAGACGAGTATCAGCTTTTTCTACAAGTCGATCAGAGTCTGATATTATGAAATCGTTCACAACATCTTAAGGACTATTTTTATTATTTTTATCTACATTATTTGATGAAATATAATTGAATAAAGATATAACAAGGTAAACAAGTTCATCGATCATTTATTTGTTTTTCAGAAAAAACAATACAGTGAAGCTTTCGACACCTTTCATAGGGTCATTTTCAACACTAAATTTTATGAAAGAAGTTTTTTACAAATATATATAAAGTAACAATTGTTTTTCTTTTTCTTTTCTAGTATTTTCTTAAACATTGCACTACGAAGGAAGGGTGTGGGTGTGGGTCTGAGCAGAATAAGATACCCTCATCGAAACCGACACTAACACCTGCACCCACACCCACACCCAAATTATTGATATCTTTAAGAAAGTTAATATTTTTATAGAATAAAAATACACGAGCTATGTATATTAGTGGATTTATAGAAATATTATATATGAGAACTTTTTCATTCCTTTCTCACATCATCAATATTTTCTATTGATTTCTTTAATAAAAAATCTATTAAAAGACTAAATTATTTCTATTATATAGTCTAGTAACGAGGTAGTAAAGATTAAATAACAGAATTAGACTCCGAAAGCATACAAACTTATAAATCTAAAATGATAACTTAGTTTTCATTAATAATTTCTATTAGATAATATAAAAGTTAATACTACATGGTGTATGCAGCTGATAATGCTATACCTAACAGAATGAGTGTTATTGAAGAAGAAGAAATTTTGACGAATGAATCAGAACTATTACTGATAACCAAATCAAATTGGTACAAAGAAACTCATTGATCTGAAGCAATATTTCTCTGTATCGAACCTTTCATCGCTCTTTATGGCATTAGTACTACATCCATAATTTGGCAGACTGTTGCCTTTGCTCTATTTTAGTACTCACTCACTGGACTCGGCATTACTGCTGGTTATCATCGTCTTCTCGCTCATCGTTCATACGAGGCATGTCTGGGTCTGCGCAACGCATTAGTAACATTAGCTGCTGGTGCTTTTCAAGGATCAGCTCTATGGTGGGTAAAACGACATCGAGCACATCATCGCTATACCGATACTGATCTCGATCCGTATAATGCTCATATAGGATGGTTATTGTTCAAACCACGTCGAAATCTTCCACTAATTGATATCACGGATCTTGCTCATGATGAAAGTGTTCAATGGCAACACAAAAATTTTATTGCATTGGCCATGAGCATGACTTTCTTTGTACCTACTCTCGTATGTGGAATTGGATGGAATGATTATCGAGGTGGCTTCTTTTTCGCTAGTGTACTTCCTCTTATAATTCTTCATCATGCAACGTTTTGTGTTAATTCACTCGCACATTATTTAGGTGATGCACCTTTCGACGATAAACACACACCTCGAGATCATTTTATCACTGCACTTATCACTGGTGGTGAAGGTTACCATAATTTTTATCATGAATTTCCATCTGATTATCGTAATGCACTAAAATGGTTTCAATATGATCCTACGAAATGGGTCATTTGGATTGCTAAGGAATGAAATTGAAAAAGGTCGCTATACTATGAAGGCCAAAGCATTAAATAAAGTGAGAGATAGTATTAATGCATGACCCAAAGATCGAACACAATTACCCATCATTTCTTTCGAAGAATATCAACAAATGGCTAACGGAGATGACGGTCGTCAGTTTGTCTTGATTGCTGGTTTTGTTCATGATGTCACCGATTTCATTGACTCTCATCTTGGTGGTCGAGCACTACTCAAGAGTCAGGTGGGAAAGGATGCGCTACTGTACCATTTCATGGTGGTGTACATGCTCATAATACTGCGGCGCATAACCTACTCGCGGTGATGCGAGTAGCTATATGTGAGCATGGTGGAGAGGTCGAGTGCCTAAAGAAGCAGTTGTGATTTTGTATTGCTATCACAGACTTGCATAGTTCATTTTTCAAATATACTCTTTTTATTACATTGTAACAAAAAATTCTTTGTGTCTTAGTAACATTAAATAAATGTTCCAAGTATTTTCCTATTGAAAATGGACTTTAATATATCAGTTCTATTGTGATTCATAGATGTTATTACGAAATTTCAACGTATGACAAAAGTGATAGGAAGAAAGAAATTTCGCAATAATTGCAATATTTTCTCTATCATTATAGAACTTCCTTATATTCGACACAGTCTAAACCATTACTATGTTATACTTTGAACTTACAACAAATGCTTCACAATCAACAAATGATCAATATCTATGAATTTTATTGTATTTTCAGATACTCAACACCAAAATTTCACTGGCAAATGGGTTCCCTTTGAATATGTTGAAACTAATCGCAATAAAAGATTCTATTTATTTGTCTACAGATTAAGAATCATATGACTCAAATATTTTTTGATGACTTCATTTTGACTGAACATGAGTTTAATGATTTTTCTGTTAATTTAGATATTTTAGATCCAATTGTAAAATTACCTAATTCTAAGTTCGATATGTCCACAAGTCTGAACAAGATCAAATCGATCGAAGAGATTCTACACTGTCTAGCGATTCTACTTCGGAATGGGTTCGATTTGTAAATACGAAAGTGATGAAATATTCTAATGAATATCATCATAAACGTTCGAAAAATAATCGAGCCGTAAAGAAATCACGACAGAAAACTAAAGTAAGCAAGAAAACAAGAGAATTAAAAATGACCATGTTAGTCACTGAAAATCAACAATTGACTAATCGAGTCGATCAACTTACGAAAGAACTGGAATCACTAAAATCATCCTACAGAAATATTGCATCAAATATTATCAATTAATGTGGGTAAAGCATGCAAATCAAATTCTACATGTTGAGCAATGGTCAAAGCAGTGATAACAAAGCTCATGTTTTTTTTCTCTTTTTTTATGACTAATAAAAAAAATAATGTCTTAATCTTAAGATTGCTTTTGACATCCTTATTATTGACTAGATCGTGAGAGTGTGGGTATTATATTTATCTCCTATCCACACCCTACGACATAAAGTTATTAATCGATTGAAGTGTAAAAATTTTAGAAAATCTTTGAATGTATATGCAAGCAACTTTGACAAATTTGTAATTAAAAAAACTTGGTACAGTTTTTTTTAATGAGTTTTTAAAATTTTATTATTTTTTTGTTGATTAAATATAAGCGGATACAATACAATGAAGCTAAATAAGAACAACAATTGTGTGCAGAGATTTCTAATAGAAAAAATGATAAGCACTTGTGCGAAGAATATGCTATAGACAATTATAATATTAGTTTATTTATGTAGTCATGTATTTTGTTGTTGATTAGCACAATCAATAATCCTATAAAGTATATGTTCCAGTATTTGTATTAAATGTGATTGTTGTGCCAGCTGCCACTGGATTCAATTGACCAGCTGAATAAGTTATCTGTGGCCCAGTTCCCGATTCTATTATATGACAAAAATATTTCACTTGTTAATAAAAAAACAACATATCAAAAAGAACTTACGTTGCACACCTATAGTTGGTAGACGGGTTCCACAGTTCGTTCCAATATAAAAACATTTAACAATATTCGGTAAATTTTCATAGAAAATAATTTGAAATTGATTATAGAATACCATATTTCCATTAGTACCTTCCATAAATTCGAAAATTATTGTTCGATTGGGTGCTGATCCACTGACACTATAATAAACTCCTTGAACTGTACCGGCATAAATGTATAGATCAGTCCAAAGTCCAAAAACTGTTGGACCAGCAAAACTTGCACTGGGAAGACTAGTAGCCGAATAGGAATTACTACAGCTACCAAGACAAAGAACCTAAAATATAGTCAATTGAATTTATAGTAATATGTCAAATATATACAGATATTTGTTAAAAGTTTTTGTTTGATTCAGGACTTTATAGGAAAGCAAAAATTTTCATTGGTGAGTCTATTCTGATGAATTGAATATAAAGAAAACTTACTCCATTACTTGTCACAGTAATACTACTACTTGAATAATTATAAAGTGTAATGGTGAGTGGAAGGTTAATTGTTGCTGTTGAATCATCGAAATTAGAACCCATCAAAGCAGAAACAGCAACAGCACCAACGAGTTGAACACTTCGCGTTATACATGTGCCACCTGAACAACTACTATTAGTAGATGGACAAACATAACCGACGAATCCACAATTATTAAAATCAATTAATGTATTAACACATGTTCCTGACGGTGTTGGAACGTATCCAGCAGTACAAGTTATTGTTGCTAAAATCACAGATACATTCACTAAAACATTTGATCTGCTAAAAGCCTACTTGTTGTTGTTGTTGATGTTGTTGTAGTTCTGCTTGTTGTCGTGGTTGTTG